GTTTGTGTTATCTAGTTCATCGATTTCTCTATTGTGTAAAGCTGTTATTAAATTGAATTTTAAGCAGTGATCTGTGGTTATTTAATAATTAGGATTAATTAGAACCTGGTTTCTAACTAACTAAAATTAAGGAGAAATAGGAATTTATTCTAACGGTGAATATTCAAAATATGAATTGAATTATCTTTGCATTTATAATCAATTGTAGATTTTCAATGGTGGATGTGGACTTAGACCAAGGTTAGTCTTTTGATTGCTTTCGTTAATTTAATTTTTATTGTTATTGATTGCATTATTTACAATTATTTGCATACGAAACCTCCAATCATTGTACAAAGCATAAAATATTGAATTACACACTCTTCGTGGGATCGACCATTACTTCCGTTACTACATTAATTTTACAGATTTAAGCACTATTTTTGGGTGCCTACGACATCACACCATTGGGATTTCTCCTTGATCATTTCTTGTGTTTGTTTATTGCTTTCATTATTATGGTATTTCAATATTAGAAAAATTGAACTGTTTGATTTACCATCTAGATATAATTAATAGTGATTTGTTGCTAATTAATTATTGAAATTTTAATTCCGTATAATCATGTCATTTCAATTGCTATCAGAGCTTGATTTTGATTCTTGACCCTTAAATTTTTCTAGACGAGTCAGTCCTTATCTATCCTTCCATTTTTCGACGGGAGTAACTATGCTTATTGGAAAGTTCAAATACAAGCTTTCCTTAAAGCATTGGATGATCGTTTTTGGATAAGCATTCAAACTTGGTAGACTGCACCTTCTACCACTATTGCAGGTGTAGCTACACACACTGATATTTCACTATGACTAAAGATGACTTAGTCGAGTATAACTGGAACAGTAATGGTCTGTATGCCCTGTTCATGGTTTTGTTTCTTAAAGAGTTTAGGAGAGTATCGATGTGTGAAACTACTAAAAAAATTTAGGATATATTAGAAACCACACACGAGGGAACTAAAATAATTAAAAACTCTAAACTGCAGATTTTGACCTCTATGTTTGAAGAAATTAGAATGAAGGACGATGAATCGTTTGATTATTTATATTCGAAGTTTAATCATATAGTACATTCGAGTTTCAACCTAGGTGAGAAGATCCCGGAGTCTAAAATTGTTAAAAAAGTCTTCAAATCCCTACTTGAAAGGTTTAGATCTAAGATCACTGCAATTGAAAAAAGTAAGGACTTGGATGCAGTTATGACAGATGAACTTGTAGTGTAACGACCCGGGTCCCACTTAATGAGTTTTCCCGACCCGGGTACCACTTAATAAGTCACCCATCAAAGAATTGCTCCAAGCCAAGCATGTTTAACTATAGAGTTTCTAACGATGGACTTCTGTAAAAGAAGGTGCACCTTGTTGTTATGAGTAGTACATAGCAAATTTTTTAAGTTTTAGGTCTAGGTATCACAATCATGCCCCGTTAGACTCGCGATGTCCTCGTC